CAATCACTGAGCAATGTTATAATAATAAGCATACAAAAAAAAACTAAAGGAGATCTATTAGTTAAAAAAAAGTCGAAGATAAAATTTTTAGTATGTGCAACAATTACAGGTGATAAAAACACTTCCTATTATTTCCAAGAAATAAAGGAGTAATGGAAAAAATGGCTATTAGGTCTCGATTGATGACAAATTTAGTGATGAAGGATAGGGATTATGACGCCAAACAACAGATACAGGTGATGTGCCATATGATGTCACAATAGGAGCTTCAGATTGCAGCCATCTATATCTAATACTACTAGGAGGTGGTGTTAATAAATTCAGAGATTCAGGTTGAGTTGAGGGCTGGCTGTTAAAGTCCAAACTGCCACTCATCAGCGGATCCATAGAAACTCCAAGTGCCCTATCTTTTACATCAGATAGTGAATCCTTTGCTGATGTAAGTATTTTCATGAACTGGTGCGTAGAAGAAAATTCATGCTTTAAAGGAAGCTCTACTGATGCAGCCATAGAGTTGAGAATAGATCCCTCCATAGCAAAGAGCAGTTCTCGACAAATATGGACAAATTTGCATTCGCTCCCAAAACGGCAGCACTTGGTACCTTCCGCTCCAGTGTGTAGCTTACAAAGGGAGGAAAAAGGTACTGTGAGCTCTGTCATCTCAGGCACTGATTCACGATCCGCCAGAATATCTCGGAGACCTTTGGTGATACAATACTCATATGGCCCTACATAGAAGGACCTATTGCGTTTGTCATCTTTAACTGTAAATGAAAAGTCAGCATGGATTTCGCTACTATCAGTGGAGACACCATGTTTTTCACAGCAAGAGGGCTCTGCCAGCGCGATAGCACGAAATTCAGAGACCAATTTAGCGTCTGTGTGAGCTTGATGACATTTGCTTCCCTGAAGGCACCGCCCACTCATGTAAATTCGACACAGTGATGGAACACCCTCGCGATGCAGTGCCCTGGTCTCAACCATAGCTTCCATTGGAAGGAAAAGCATTTTACTGCCATAATCAATAACAGGAAAGGTGCCTTGAGGCACTTCAGGCATATTAAGCACACTATGCTTTTTAACGCTCTTTCGACGCTGTTTTGATTTCTTTCGGGACATGGGTTTCATATTTTTCGATTTTTTTTTTATCAAACAATCTATTAGGTTGTTCAAAAATGGAAAAATATAGTAAATAAGCCCAAAGAATATCAAATAGAACGTATAGATACTTAAATACAAGTCAAAGAGTTACTTTCATGTAGTAAATTGTCTTTTTTCTGATAGATAGCATATTCTAACTTAATTAATCGAGTATTTATCTTCTTCTTGTCGAATGGAAAAATTGACTTATGAATACGGAAAATAAAACATTCAAGGAATGCTCTACCACTCGCACAGTTCCACACTCGACTCTCCACCACACAAAATATATTTATTCTGTACAAAAAGTGCGAAGTTGAGGGCCCCATTAGATCTAATAGTTCGAAAGCCACCCTCAGAAAAAGTATTGGGGTTAACACACTCGACACAGCCATCAGGTGAAGGGAACACCACCGACTCACACGGACCTGACCAGTCACATTTCCGCAAAATACGATCATCACTACAATTAAAAACCTTAATCCCGTTCAAAAGACGTTCGCTATTTGACAACGCAAATGGTTTTGTGTCAATCAGAGACGCCTTTCCATCCATAGTGTACACCACAAGCCGGTGACCACTTTCATTTGAGGACATTCCTGTGACCACATCGTGGCTACATTTAAGGTCCACCATGCTTTTCTCGTGAACTCTAAAGTCAAACCACCTCACATGCCCAGAGGCATCCCCCACAAAGGTCATACCGGCAGCCGTAGAAATGGCTGTCACAGGAGCCCTAAGGTTCAACGAGGAAACGATCGATGCGGCCCGAGTGTCACAACGGACCAAATACCCATCATCCCCGCCATAAACCACCATAGGGGATGCATCCACAGTTCCCTCCACGACGTTTATCACTGGCCAGGCTGCCCTCCCGGGTGATTTGTAACGGGAAAAACTGGAAACCTTTTTCCCGATCTGGGCATCCCAGAACCCCACGCACGCATCACCCTGAGCGACTGCCAGTTGTGTGACATCAGTAAAGATCGAGTCGAGAAAAGCCGGACCACCGCTACTCAGTTTGCACACATTACATGGATCGTCGCGGTTGTCGTTCAATTTCCAGAGAAGGGCCACACCGTCAACGCTGCAGGTGGCTACTAAACCTCCAAGCGTACACCCACTAATCACCTCCTCGTCATGTCCATGAAGAGTCCATCTAGATTTTCCAACTGCAGTATGCAGATTTGCATCATTATTTACCACCGATAAAGCCATTCAAAATTCTTTTCCTTTATATATATACGAGTTATGCTTTCATGGAAAGCTAAGAAAAAGATAGGTTCACTCACTTTCTCAGATTACCGTATCGAAACTACGATTTTCAAGCAAAAAAATAATAGGGAGGAAGTTTGCAGAAAATAATCAGAATAAACAGACCGAAACACGAGTCCAAGCGTCTGAAAGAAATAATTCATACATAAATGAAGGAAATGTTCTTTCAGAAAGTAAATAATAATGGATGAATAATTTATTCGGAAAAGCTTTAAAGCGATATATTATCCTCATTCAATGGGAAAAACATAAAGTAGTCACTAAAAGCAGACTACAAGCCATGTGCTTCATTCACAAATAAAAATCTACACTAGTGTTAATGTGTATCGCAGTGCTGAATAATAAAGATAGAATTCAGATTAATGGTAACACCAACACTATGTATTTTCTATTTTAATCAATAGATATTTTATAACACCCATCATGGTAGACTAAGAGAGGCAACGTATCTATTCACTATAGAAAGTGTCTGTAGTTTTAAAACGAAATATGTGCATAAACTTCTCACACGAACATAATACTATTCATGAAGGAGATCGCAACATATAGAGTGGAAAAGTACGTTAAATTTCTTAGAATACTAAACGTTCTTTATCAAGACAAAAATAAATTATATAGTATCGAAATGAAGCAAGCTTTTGCCAAGGAAATCATCAAAATTTGTTTTTAAGAATTTTTTCAATGCATCACCTGTCAATGCGCTACCTTCAGCAATAAGCTCTTCCGCTTCTTCTTCTTCTGTTTTATCCACTAGTGGATATTCCTCTTTAACGGATTCAAGAGAAACATCATCAGCTGGAAAATCAAAATTTTTATCCGTTATACGTTTTTTTTCCCTTTTTTCTTGAGAATGTCCCTGTTGATTCTAGCACGTAAGGGTTTATCTAATTCAGTTTGATCTATGATAACGAGGGCGTTTGTTTTCTCTGTATGCCGTCGTTTTGAGGAATGACTCATTTTCTCATATAACAAAATCGCCTTTAACTATTGTACTTCTTCGTGAATCTAAAAGGAGGTAAGAACGAAAAAAAAACTCATGATACTAACAAGCCTCGGAAACCATCCCATGACTGCACTGTATTTCATAAATTTTATTTCTCTTGTTAAAAGGGGGTTTAATTCAAATATCATTTCTACTTTCATTTCACACAAGAAAAGGCTTCAGCGAAAAGCCATTGCTAGAAGGATAATAATAACGGGAAACCTAATCATGGTTGTATCCGGTAAAGAGGGTTTTGTCCTTATTGAAGGTCGTCTCAGCTTTCGTTGTACTTGCTGGATTGGTCGCGTATCGGGATGGTTTCCAGCGAGCCATAGTTGTGACCTGAGGTCCCATAAGCCCAACATTACAAAAAAGCCGCTTCACCGCGCGGTGATGGTAATTACACAATTGAAGTTTGTCATCCATAAGATACTTCGTCAGAATATGCACACCATCCTTTTCAACCCGGTCAAATGGTGCAAAGCGAGTATCCCACGGCTCCGCCCGTTTTGAGGAGCTAAATTCCACATAACCACGCAAGCTATCCGCTAGAACACGCTGCTGGTCCAGCAAATACTCGCTTCGCCATTTCTGTGCCTTTTCGTGGAACCCTTGACCAACCTTAGGACGTTTTTTTGGTTTAGTCCAAAACCGCCTCTGATACACTGCAGGCGAAAACGGCCATCTGTTGCACTGGCCGCCAAAATCACTGCCTCTAGCAAACAGCCTGCTAATCATCCCAGACACACAACAGAGATTTCTGTTTCTAAAAAAAACGGGGTGAAGTAGAAACCCCTTTGTGTACCTGAAAACCAAAAGAGAAAGGGAATTTGTCAAAAAGAAAATGACAGTTCATTTAATTATGGATTCAATTGAGAAACATTGGGAATAAAGTTATAGAAAGAACCCACAAATATAATTATTTTAGGGATCTCAGAAATTTGTTAATATTTCCTTTGGAATTAACCCCTCTTTCTACTCTTTAAGCGATTCTTCAATAGTCTGATTTTTGCTTCCATATCATCTATATTTCGCTGAATAGTCAACTCATCCGCTAATTCCGTATCGCTACACGTGTCTGACAGATCAACAGTAGTTTGCTGATGTATAAATGACAACTCAGAAGTTTGCTCACTATTCTCGGTTCTACATCTAAAATATTCTTTGGCAGATTTGCTCTCATCAAGCCGCTTCTCAGCCCATTTAAGCCGCAATTCCTCAGCTTTCTTTGCTTCCATTTTGCGGAGATAGGCTTCACGTACAACCTCCTTAATCAGTTCTGCCTCTGCTTTCTCATTAAGTTCGTCCTCATTGTGAGCCAGGGCGACTTTAATAGGGTCACTGGGAAGTGGAATACGAGAAAAGATATTGTATATTTCATTGTCGAGTTTCTTTCGGAAAGCTTCATCATCCTCCGGACTTTCTATGTGTGAAAGCTCTGCGGTACTAGCATTTTTTTTTGAAGTTCCCCCAATATCCATACAGGAAGTCTGCTTTTGTTTCTTGAGATCTTCATAAACAGAATTAATGAAGCTCGGTGTGAAAGAAGAGAATTCAAAGATGTTATTATTTCCAAGGTTTGAAATAGGTCGTGCTAAAATCAGAGTTATAAGACCTGAAAAAGGCTGTTTTACCCCTCGCTTCATAATAAACTAATTGGTATAAACTGAGGCACTAGAAGGCTTTGTCCAAAACTCGCTCTTAGAAGGAATAAATAATTCTTTTAGAGATTTCACTGCTCAAAGCAGACGTGAGAATGTTAAAAACTCGTGCATAACACGATAATATATTTTGTTTACCTCGTTCCCATTTACCCTGTCATACATCCTGAAAATCTTCAGGCGCGATGTTGGTTATAAAAAGGCAAGTGAAACCTTGCGCGAAACTCTTCCCATCTAAAGAGTACAGAGTCAAGGAAAGGGAAAAAACGAAAACACTTATTATCACAATACAAGAATGAAACCCCATTGACCAAAATACAAATATGAGAAAAATAGCCTAAAGTCATACAGATTCTTTCGTTATCGTGTGTATTTCTTTAAAAATGATCTATGAATTAATTAACCCAGAATTGTGCTTTATTTTCATCCAAATTTATTTTATGAATTAAATATATATATATATATATCATTTATTGTAAAAACCCTAAACCATTGCAGCTCTTGAATTTCTTGTTTGCTATACAGTAGAAGACTGAAAACAGGGTGTGTCAGATAAAGATTCATCTCTTTTTTCCTCGGCTGCACAATCCACTCAAAGAAGATCTAGCCTCATTGTAGTCTCAAATTTGTAAAAACCAAGTTTGTTGTAAAAGGGAATGTTACTATCCTTACAATCTAGGATTATCTTGTAGCAACCGTATTCCTTGCCAATTTCACAAAGATTTCTCATCAGAAATTTACCAATGCCTTCACCTTGTATAGAAGGAAGTACAACAACGTCTTCAATGTGTCCAACTCGCTTACCAGAATGCACAAACTTTCGTTCGATAATAATTGAACCTGTTCCTACAAGTTGTCCACATCTTCGATCCTCAACAACCTTTGTTATAACGCCTTGATCTTTGCGTTCTTTAAAAATGGAAAATAGTTCGTCGTCTGGCATCTCTTCAGTCGTGGTAAGATGTCGAAGAAGCTCGACGAGTTCATGACAATCATTTTCTTCTAAATTTCGGACAACAAATGTATCTAACATTAATTATGATTCTTTTGAAAAAAAGTTAACATAAACAAGTGATAAAATTTAATAAACAAAAAGAACTATTATAAGCTAACAGCCAGCTAAAAGATATGATTTCAACTTTCATCATAAATCAAAGACAATAATAGATCTTAGGATGCATATACTTACATTAGTCTCAATTACTATAATTCTATTAGGATCCAAAAATACTTTTAGTCTGTGTAAATGGTTGATAATAATTAACAATATTAGACATGTTTGTGCGCTGAAAAGCAGAACCTTGAGGAGAAAATGCGCCTGTGGGTACATTTTTAAATCCTTGTGTTTGAGTTTGTGCAAATCCAACATTTCCACCAGAAAACGCGCTCTTAAATCCAACAGCATTTTGAGGTGGAACAGGGTTGGAACCTTGGCCAAATATGCTAAGAGTTTGTGGGTGTCCAAAGGTATTCGATGCTGGTAACGATGTTCCCTGTGTAAAGGCATTCGATGCTGCTAACGATGTTCCCTGTGCAAAGGGAATCGGCGCTATAGAATTATTATTCACAGAATCTTGTGGCAAAAAAGCAGAAGTTTGCGATTCATTTTGATTAATTCCAAAAGTGCTTGTATTATTATCATAATGACCTTGACCAAAGACGGCAGGCTTGTCGGTCTTCGGTACAGTTGTCGCTGTTGTGGAAGGAAC